TTTATGAATTTCTTGTTATAAGTCTTATTTTTGCTTGTAGAACACACTGCTGAAGTATGTACGGAAAAATGCGGAACATTCTGTGTTTTTTCATTGACCAAACTTGGTCGTGTTTAGAAAGAATTCAAAATAAATATAAAAACTTACGATTTAACAATTTATCCCAGAGTTCATGACCCCAAATTGATAGGTTTGTGTATACAGTCTCGTTATCAAGATTTATAAGAATTCTTGCGTGGTTGTAATAATTCAAATATACAGGGTGTTCGGCCAACCCTGGGAAAAATTTTAATGAGCGATTCTAGAGGCCAAAATAAGTCGAAAATCAAGATTACCATTTTGTTGATTAAGACTTCGTTAAAAAGTTATTAACAAAATTATTAGTAAAATTTGTCCAACTACACGAATTTTTTTCTCACAAGTACGTAGGATTCTGGGGGTATGTTTATTTACCAAAAATGCTTACAATTGACCCCTGCAATCAAAAATAATTTTTCCAAGAAGATTCCAAATTCTTTTTTTCACTCAAAATGTTCAGCACTTACTCGAATTTTTTTTTCGAAACTGCGTAGAATTTCGGGGTTATGTCTTTTGACCAAAAATGATTGTAATTGACCTCCGCAACTAAAAATAATTTTCTTAGTACGATTCGAAATTTTTTTTTCGCCGAAAAATTTAGACACCTTGCCCGTCGATTTTCCTTAAAAATTCGTTTTTCATTTTTTATAAATTTGTTTAACGCTATACAAAAATTTTGTCTAATACTTTTTTGTAAGTACCCATAAGCTCTATTTCAGAAAAAAATTTCATTGAAATATATTTACTATTGTAGGAGTTATGGTCGTTTGAAAATTGGACCAGTTTCTTAAAGTTTTTTTTATTTTACGTGGTCGAGCATGAACTTTTCGAATATTTTTGGAATTTCTACATATACCTCACTGAAATACGCGTTGTTTGCCTTTCGAAACATTAAAATCCTCCAATCCGTTCAGAAGTTATGATATTTTAAACATTTGCATGAAATTTCGAGGAAGCATTTTTGGGCAGAAATTATATTTTCGGTAAAGAATTTTGTCTCGAAATTGCGTAGGATTTTAAGGGTATGTGTATTGACAAAAAATGATCATAATTGACCGCTGCAAACGAAAATAATTTTTATAGAATGATTTGATACTTTTCAATTTTCAGGGTAATAGACAGTTATGGTCAGACATTATATTTTCAGCAATGAATTTTTTTCTCGAAAATGCGCAGGATTTCGGAGATATGTGTATTCACCAAAAATGATTGTAATTGACGCCTGTAACCAAAAATAATTTTTTCAGAATGATTTGAAATTTTTTTTTAAACTTTAAACGTTAATAAATTTTTAAGGAAGCTTCCATCAAGAAATTGGTATTCTTGATTTTCGTCTTATTTTAGCCTTTGAAATATCCCATTCAAATTTTTCACAGGCTTGGCCGAACACCCTGTATAACGTGAGAATTTTTTACGAGAATAAAAAAGTTTCATAAAAATGGTCTTCTTTATAAAATCTCGTTTCTTTAGTATGGGGCGTGGTTAAGCTGGCAAAAAAAAATCCCAAAGGTTGACTAGATGTAAGACAGACCTCGTTTACTTGGGGAATGAAAGGGAGTATAAAAAAGTAGGCTGAATGTTGGAAAGTGATTTATGAGAACGCGGGACAGACGCAGAGGTAATTAACGATAATTTGCTTGTCCGAGTTGTGGAATTTAGGGTACCAGCACGAAACGACTGGTACGAGTTTACGAGAGTCGCGTAACCAACAGTCACCCTTAGAACCTACGTTAAAACAGTATCTAAAATCGCATTAAAATATATCAGTACCCAAGGTGAAGTCTTGAATGTCCACTTTTTGTTTCCCTTTCGTCCAATAGTATTTACAAAGATTAACAAAAAAGATTAAGAGGCTTAAGAAAAATTGAAAAAGGGGATGGCTTTAAATTCAGAAATGTACGACATATTTTTATAAACTTTGTCAACTCTTAGAAACTCAATACGTAATTTGCCCTTTCATGGATAAAAGATAAATAGCAGAGAATCATGGAATTATTAAAATTCACAGATAAGTAAAATATGCAAACAATGGGATCGAGAGAACAATTGTTCTATAGAATCTACTGTTCACGTTTAATCCTCCGACGTTCAGACATTTGTTCGCCCTTCGTAGGTACAAGCTGTCGCCGTAAATTCATTCTCACGTTGCATCATCCCCCCGGTTGATTTATTCAATTTCTTCCCGCGTTCGAGAGCTTAGAAATCAAAGCCTGTCGCCTGAATGAAGCACGATTTAACGAGAATAGAGGTCACGGTGAAACGCGTGACAGTAACACGGGAGCAAATTGAAAAGTTTATTGGAAAAGTAATCTGTGAACGTGATGCGCCGTCGTACGGTATAGAATCGCGTGTCGCGCGTGATCAGATTATCGTTAATCAATTTTAATATCCGCGCACGAAGGTCAATGGAAAGTTTCTAATCGATATTTACATATATTAAACGTTTCAGATCGTCGTGCAAACATTTTTCATGGTTTTTAACACTTATCCTCGATGCTCACTTCTTTCGAAAAAGTGAATTGCACTGTATTACGATTATTATTAAATTTATTTGAAATACGTTTAATTGTTTCTGACAATTTTTCGTTAAAGTTTTCTTTTGTAATTAATTATTTAGAGCCACGTTAACTATTCAAACGAATCATCATTATTATTAAATTTATTTGAAATACGTTTAATTGTTTTTGACAATTTTTCGTTAAAGTTTTCTTTTATAATTAATTATTTAATTATAATACTATAATTGGAAAAATGATTTAAGTGCTATAAAAATTCCAGAGAAGTAATTACTAAATTAGATATAGAACGATGAGATAATACACTATAATTTACTTATATATTCCAGTGTACTAACAAGATATAACAATACTAATACTAGAAAAGAGATACTGGGCAAGTTAGTTTCGCAGAACATATATCTATTTAATTTCTTTCGTGCCAGGCTACGCTATGCAGGATTCTTAGAAAACACTGCAACAAAATGCGCATTTAGAACATCGATTTTACAAAATAACATAGCAACTTAATAATCGATTTCGTCAGGTTGTGCAACGAGACCTAACAAAACATCGTTGAAAATTTGATGATTCATACGCATTTTGCACGACTACTATTCGCGTGTATACAGGGTGTTCGGTCACACCTAGGAAAAATTTTAATGAGCGATTCTAGAGGCCAAAATAAGGCGAAAATCAAGAATATCAATTTGTTGATTCAAACTCCATTAAAAAGTTATTAAAAAATTAAATTAAAAAATTTCAAATTGTTCTGGAAAAATTATTTTTAGTTGCGGGGATTAATTACAGTCATTTTTGGTCAATAGACATACCTCCGAAATCCTACTCAGTTTCGAGAAAAAAATTTTTTACCGAAAATGTAATGTCTGCCCATACATGACATTTTTCACTTAAAGTTCATGCGTAACTTTAAAAAGTCATAACTCCTGAACGGATTGGACGATTTTAATGTTTCAAAATGCAAACAACGCGTATTTTTGTCAAGAATATGTAGAAATTCTAAGAATAATCGAAAAATTGTTTCTTGACCCCGTAAAGTAAGAAAAACCCCATGAAAATGGTTTTATTTTCAAATGAGCATAACTCCTAGAATAGTGAATATATTTGAATGAAATTTTTTTCTGAAGTAGAGGCCATAGGTACCTACAAAAAAGTATTAGACAACTTTTCTATAGAGCGTTAAACAAAATTATTAAAAATCGACAGGAGGTAGGTGCTGAAATTTTTCGGTGAAATTGAAAAGTTCCAAATCATTTTGGAAAAATTATTCTCGATTGTAGGAGTTAATTACTATCATTTTTGGTCAATACATATACCCCCGAAATCCTATTCACTTTCTAGAAAAAAATTCGAGAAAGTGTGATATTTTTCGCAAAACTAAAAAATTTCAAATCGTTCTGGAAAAATTATTTTCCGTTACGGGGGTCAATTACAATTACTTTTGGTGAATAGATATACCCCCGAAATCCTACGCACTTTCGAGAAAAAAATTAGCGTAGGTGAACAAATTTTATTAATAATTTTTAACAATAATTTTTTAAATATTTTTTTGATGAAGTCTTAATCAACAAATTAGTATCCTGCATTTTCATCTTATTTGGGCCTCCTGAATCTCCCATGGAAATTTGTCTCAGGGGTGGCCTGTATATCTGCAAAAGAGACGCCGAGAAATTTTGGCAAAGCAGTGATAGAGATAAAATGGAAGTTTTGATGAAACCTTACAGATTCATATTTATATTTTTGTTCACCGCAATAACTCAAGTTGGACGAGTCTGGCTCGTTACAAGTTCTTGATATCAAGTTTTACAATCATTAGGCTACTCACTCTTCAGGAAGTTTTATATATTAACGTTAACACATATTTACACTCACGAGGTATTCGTAAAACAAATCTATTCTTCTTCGTGACCACTCTCTGTGCGAACAAATTTAAACAAAATTAAATAGTATACATTTGAAAAATTACAAGGGGTTAATGGATCAAAGTATATTCGAAGGTTCCATTATTTTGGCTCGTAATGGGTTATCAGACAGTTCTTAATTAGTCTTTTACTGCCAAATATATTTACGAGCAAGAAAATTCACTATCGTTGATTTTCTTAGAAACTCCACATTTTCTCGATGGTTAAAATTGCTTGCACTAGTTACGAGACACTCTGTATAATTAAGAATCACAGTACATACACAGACGATAGTAGAGGTTGATGCATTATGCAACACGTTTGTTACATGCCCCCGGTGTATCGCGTGTTCGTCCTAGACGACTCGATGTCCTCCGCCAGCAGGACACTTTTACGTAACCGTACGCTGTAACGCGCTCATAATCAATTATTCTCCGTCAGGGTCGTGCATCAAATGTTTAAGGTCACCGAATTACGAACGTAATCGACGCTGATTTCAGGAGACATGGCCGAGAAGATGTACTATTGGGGCGAGGAGAAGGATCACGTGGACCCGGACCAAGCCTTCATAGAGTTCAAGGCCAAATCAGCCGGAATGGACAAGAAACGGAAGTCCTCGCGACCGGTGCCCAAGATGACCGTCTCGTCCCCGCAGGGTAAAGTGTCGGAGGTCGGAAGTCGAGTGGAGGACACGGAACGCGGTGGCTGGGACAACAAGCTCGACTTCCTCTTCTCTTGCATCAGCGTGTCCGTGGGCTTGGGCAACGTCTGGCGTTTCCCGTATTTGTGTTACAAAAACGGTGGCGGTGAGTTCTTTTGATTGCATCGCGGCCAGAGAAATCAACGAACGACTCTTAATCAGTCAACTGTTTCTGACGAGTATACTCGTCATGGAAAGAGGGCAAAATTTTGTGTTATAACGAGTATACTTGTCATGAAAAAGTACAAAATTTCGTGTTAACCAGTCAACTGTTCCTGACGAGTATACTCGTCATGAAGAACAGTGCAAAATTTTGTGTTACGACGAGTATATTCGTCCTGTAAAAGTACAAAATTTTGTGTTAATCAGTTACCTGTTCCTGACGAGTTTACTCGTCATGAAAAACAGTGCAAAATTTTGTGTTATGACGAGTATATTCGTCCTAAACAAAGTGCAAAATTTTATGTTAACCAGTTAACTGTTCCTGACGAGTATACTCGTTATGAAAAACAGTGCAAAGTTTGTTTTGACGAGTATATTCGTCATGAAAAAAAGTGCAAAATTTTGTGTTAACCGGTTAATTGTTCCTGACGAGTATACTCGTCATAAAAAACAGTGCAAAATTTTGTATCATGACGAGTATACTTGTCATGAAAAAAATGCAACATTTTGTATTATGACGAGTATACTTGTCATGAAAAAAATGCAAAATTTTGAATTATGACGAGTATACTTCTCATGAAAAAGTGCAAAATTTTGTGTTAATCAGTTACCTGTTCCTGACGAGTATACTCGTCATGAAGAACAGTACAAAATTTTGTGTTACGACGAGTATATTCGTCATGAAAAAAAGTGCAAAATTTTGTGTTAACCGGTTAATTGTTCCTGACGAGTATACTCGTCATAAAAAACAGTGCAAAATTTTGTATTATGACGAGTATACTTGTCATGAAAAAAATGCAAAATTTTGAATTATGACGAGTATACTTGTCATGAAAAAAATGCAAAATTTTGAATTATGACGAGTATACTTCTCATGAAAAAGTGCAAAATTTTGTGTTAATCAGTTACCTGTTCCTGACGAGTTTACTCGTCATGAAAAACAGTGTAAAATTTTGTGTTATGACGAGTATATTCGTCCTAAACAAAGTGCAAAATTTTATGTTAACCAGTTAACTGTTCCTGACGAGTATACTCGTCATGAAAAACAATGCAAAGTTTGTTTTGACGAGTATATTCGTCATGAAAGAAAGTGCAAAATTTTGTGTTGACCGGTTAATTGTTCCTGACGAGTATACTCGTCATAAAAAACAGTGCAAAATTTTGTATTATGACGAGTATACTTGTCATGAAAAAAATGCAAAATTTTGTATTATGACGAGTATACTTGTCATGAAAAAAGTGCAAAATTTTGTGTTAACTGGTTAACTGTTCCTGACGAGTATACTCGTCATGAAGAACAGTGCAAAATTTTGTCTTACGACGAGTATATTCGTCATGAAAATAGTGCAAATAATTAGCAGTTTAAATTGCAATTTTAGTAAAAACTAAAATATATTCGTAGGCTTCAAGGTGTTTGAAATATTTTGAGGCCGCAAAAGTTGATCGTTTCAGAAGGTCGTCGAATATTTTCGTCCTCGAACGGCACGATTTAAATGCATTCGTTGCTCGTCCTTTCGAAATTATTGAAATTACGTGGCTTCTGTATGACCGAGCGTGCTGTTTGTAAACAATTACATTAAAATGGAGCGACACGTTAATTATACGTATCGAGGGTCACGATCAGTATCCATGACAACGTTCCTAATAAGCGAGGACAATTAATTTTTGACGATGAATACACCGTGATCATGCATTGTGAATGCGCTCCCTGCCTAATTGCAACTGTTTGCACGATGCATGCACGATTCGAATACGTTCGATTCTGTGCTCGAGAGCTCTTTCACGATAAAACCATACTGATACGAAACCTCGATCGATTGCAGGTGTGTTTCTGATAACCTATGGCATCGCTATGGTGTTCTGTGGGATTCCCATATTCTTTCAAGAAGTGGCCATTGGCCAATACCTTGGCGCTGGAGGGATGACCCTGGTGGGACAATTGTGTCCTTTGTTACAAGGTACTTTATTTTTTATTATATTTTTAATTTAAATTCTTTGATATAATTAACATCAATAACTTTTGGAATATTAAAACTTCGTCATTTTGTTTTATGTTGCATTTATAAAAAATTGATGAGCTAGTGAAACGAGTTATGAATATACTTAGATGCATGTATCTTACCAATTATTGAAAATCGACTATGTAAAGTATAAATTGTTTTTAACTAGTTACTCCCAGAAATTATTACAATATTGCAATCAGTTTACAACGTTTAATCTTTAACTTTTATGTTTTTCAGGGGTTGGATACGCTACTATGACGATCGTATTCTTCCTAGACATCTACTATTGCATCATTATTGCATGGACACTCTTCTACTTAATTAGTACCTTCGTCAAGTTACCTGGAGTTCCTTGGAACGGTTGTGGTCAGTAAAACGATTACAAATTAAAAATGCTCTTCGAGTTTCCTAATCGATATGCTACTTCTTTGTCGTTAATCAACACTATGGTAATTTTACAGGCAATTGGTGGAACACTGATTATTGCTACGACGCTTCAGAAAAGTTCAAGAATATCTCTCACGTTAATGGTACGAATAATGCAAACGTACCGAGTAGTAATACTACCCTTCATTACACCACGCCTGTTGAAGAATATTGGGAGTAAGTAAAACTTTCGTAGCTGTGAACGTTTAAAAAATGGATATTACATACAATATTCCATGTAAAATGTAATGGAAGTTGGAATAAGTTTATTTAACACGATGTTTTGTGTCAAAAGAAATCGAGTTTGAAAATTGTCAGTAGTACGCGGGCATTTGAGTCAGACTTGGAGAACACGTCCGACCATTCTTCGTTATTTCTACTTACGTTAACGTTGGCATAACGTCCATAGTGATTTTAGCCGTCTTCCGTCGATTATTATTATCTCCTAATTAGTAAAAATCAATCAATATAGTCTAGATCGTCAGTATTCGCAAGTGAAAACACCAACGTAAGTAGAAGGAACAAAATATGGTCAGACACATTCGACAAAATTCGTTATCTCAAAATCGAAACTTCGTATACAAAAATTTATTCCACATTTTTTATTCATTTTTGCACAAAGAATTATCCCATGCTCGGTTACAATAAAAAATAATATCCATTTCCATTAGCCCGACTATTCTTCGGTAGATATTACGGATTATATTTCACACAAACAAAGAAGTCACAACCGCGTGCAACCAGCAGTGACGTGGATACTAAACAGTTGATGAATAAAGCGTAACTTTAGCAAGAAACAAATTTTTAAGAAGAATATATAGGTGGTAGGAGGACAAATTTCTCGACCAAATTAAAAAATTTCAAATAATTCTAAAAAAATTATTTTTGAGTGCGGGAGTTAATTATAATCATTTTTGGTCAATAGACATACCCTCGAAATCCTAATCATTTTCGAGAAAAAACATTCATTAGCGAAAATATAATTTCAGGCCAGAAATGTCACTCCGAAATTTCATGCGTATCTTTAAAATGTCATAACTTCTGAACGGATTTAAGGATTTTGATGTTTCAAAAGGCAAATAACGCGTATTTTAGTAAAGAATATGTAGAAAATCCAAAAATAATCGAAAAGTTAATCCTTGACCTCGCAAAATGAGGGAAACCCCATAAAAATGGTCCAATTTTCAAATAATCATAACTCCTACAATAGTAAATATATTTGAATGAAATTTTGGGGGGAAGTAGAGTTCGTAGATACCTACAAAAAGGTATTAGAAAACTTTTCTATAGAGCGTCAAACGAAATGATTAAAAATCAAAGACGAATTTTTAAGAAAAATCGACAGAGGCTAAATTTTTCGACGAAAAGAAAATTTCGAATCGTTCAAAAAAAATTATTTTTAGTTGCGGGGGTCGATTACAATCATTTTTGGTCAAAAGACATAAACTCGAAATCCTACGCAGTTCCGAGAAAAAAATTGGTGTAAGTGCTGAACATTTTGGGTGAAAAAAAAGGAATTTCGAATTGTCTTCGAAAAATTATTTTTAGTTGCAAAGGTCAATTACGATCATTTTTTGTGAATAGACATACCCCTAAAATCTTACGCACTTTCGAGAAAAAAAATTCTTTGCCAAAAATACAATGTCTGACAATGAATGAATATTGACTGGAAAATTTTTTGGTATCGTTCTGAAAAAATTATTTTCAATTGCAAGGGTCAATTACAATCATTTATGGTCAATAGATATATCTCCAAAATCCTACCCAGTTTCGAGAAAAAAATTCAATTGGTGGAGAAATTTTTCGGGGGGAAAAAATTTTTTCAAATCGTTCTGGAAAAATTATTTTCAATTGCAGGGGTTAATTACAATCATTTTTGGTTAAGAGACATATTCCCGAAATCCTACTCAGTTTGGAGAAAAAAATTCTTTGCCGAAAATACAATGTCTGACCATGAATGAATGATTCCCCTGAAATTTCATGCGTACGTTTAAAAAATCGTAACTTCTAAACGGATTGAAGGATTTTAATGTTTCAAAATGCAAAACGACGCGTATTTTAGTGAAGAATAAGTAGAAATGCCAAGAATGTTCGAAAGGTTGTTCTTTAACCCAGTAAAGTGAGAAAACCCCCATACAAGTGGTCCAATTCATCGTTTTTATCACTTCATATGTAGATATAGCTCAATTATCCAGCATATTTGATTTACTAGCATCGTCCCAGTCCCGAGTATGCCGCATAATCGTAATTTTACCGTATATTAATTCACAAACGCAACAAATTATAATCTCAAGTAGGATGCTTTATGCTCTTCTGCCATCGTTCTTCAGCCAATTTCATTTCTCTTCCATACAATGCTGATCTTCTTTAATAAAAATTGTTCCAACGCACTCTCTGATAAACTCGACTATCGTTTGAAAGCTCGACGAATGATTATGTAATGATGGCTTGTGATATTTCCAATTTCAGACGACGAGTTCTTGGGATCACCTCCGGTATCGAAACCATCGGTGGGATCCAATGGGAGCTGTTGGGTTGCCTGATTCTCGGCTGGCTGCTCGTTTACTTTATCATCCGGCGTGGTCTTCATCAGAGCGGTAAGATCATCTGGTTTTCAGCCTTGTTCCCCTACGTGGTGCTTTTCATTCTTTTGGGAAGAGCGGTGACGTTGGACGGCGCCTCCGACGGTTTGCTATACTACGTCACACCGAGGTGGAAGGAGTTGCTATCGCCTGGACCATGGATCGACGGAGCCACGCAAATTTTCTTCGCGTACAGTATCGGTACCGGGGCTCTGCCTGCCTTGGGATCGTACAACAAGTTCCACCATAACTGCTACAAGTAAGCATTCACGAGATTCGTCTTCGTAAATTCGCATTAAGCTCCTCTTCATTTATGGAGCACACGCTCCATAAATCATCGAAAAATTGTTCGTTCGACTTCGGGGGGAAAAAACGAATTAATTTTGTTATCCTTATACTCGAGCCTCTGATTGCCATTTAAATAAATCTGTATTGATATCAATGACAAATATTTGTTCTGTAAATAAAACAGTGTTACGTAATAGGTTGAATTTTTATAATCATTTAAATGATCATTGGAGCTTTCGTTAAGTTCGTTATTTATTGTATGTCGTTGTCTTCGATACGAAGTCTTTGAAAATGTAAGTTTTGTCTTGCAGAGACGCACTAATCACTTGTATAGTCAACACCCTAACTTGCCTATTGGCTGGTTGCGTGACGTTCTCCATACTGGGTCACATCGCTTCGGAGCAAGGTAACGATGTGTCCGAAGTTGTCAAGAGCGGACCTGGTCTCGTGTTTCTCACTTATCCCGAGGTCGTCCTGAAGCTTCCTGGTGCCCCGGTGTGGTCCATAATCTTCTTCGTCATGCTGCTCGTAAGGAACAATTAACTAACCCAAGCCAAGAAGTGTGCTGTTCACTTCTTTTGTGATCAATGTCTGTTTACCAGTACCGATAAGATTCTCTATATTATTTAGAATTTGATTCGAGCGAGGAGAAAAGTCGATTTTTGCAATGTTGTATAACCAAGTTCTTTTTATTATAATTTCGGATAAAGGTGATTGAGGTATCAGAATCGATAAAGATGTCCGCACAAAACATTTCTTAATTTTTTGTCTCTTATCGCAAATTATCACTTCACTTTGGATCAGCCATTTTGGTTTCTAAAACTTTGACTTTAGACTTATAATCAGCGACCTCAAACACATTGGAATACCAATGTTTATGCAAATTGAATCTGTCATATTGATGCTGTCGTATTTTTTCCTCAATATGGGCAGTTTGATCCACTGTTCGCCGCTGTTTCATCATGCAATAATTTAAATAACTAACGGAAATTTGTAATTAAAAATGTCTTGAACGATGAAAAATAAAATAGTGCTGTTTTAGAATTTTCTTGTATACTATTTGTTGCATGAAAAAGTGTTTGAATTTAAGAAAAATGCTTTTCTCCTTTGCCACAGATCCTCGGAATCGACAGTGAGTTCTGTATCGTGGAGTCCTTCATCACAGGAGTGGTCGACAATTGGCCAGAACTTCTACGTCCCCACAGAAACAAGTTCACTATCGCCATTTGTCTTCTTATGTTCGTTCTGGGACTTCCAATGGTGACCAACGTTAGTATACAAATGTATAAAACAGTAATTTAACAGAAATCTAACGTCACCAGAAACCTTTTAAATACTTTTACATAATATTTAAAAAAATAGTTCGGATCATTTAATGCCACTTCAGATAAACTTGCTCGTACTACTACAAATGCACTGGATTCATCGTAAATCAGGTTCAACTGGATGTTAAAACCCGTTTATATGTTCGTGATAGTATGAACGAGTTTTTTTTTAAGTCAGTGTAGTAATTGATCACGTGATGTCTTAAAAACAGTAAGATTCGAAGGCCTTATAAAACCTTTCTTATATAAAGTTGTGATTGTTTATATACAGAAATCTATAAGTAATTCATGGTATACATCACTCTGTATAATAAACACACACACACAATAAATGTAAAAACTTTTACGAGCTTGACGCGAATAGAGTATATATAAAATAAATAAAAAAGAATTTGTGTGTTATGACAAAAATATTATATTTATGCTCTAGGGAGGAGTGTATTATATATAAAGAAATGAATAAGTAATTCATGGTATACGTCACTCTGTATAATAAACACACACACACAATAGATGTAAAAACTTTTACGAGCTTGACATGAATAAAGTATGTATAAAATAAATAAGAAATAATTTGTGTGTTATAACAAAAATGTTATATTTATGCTCCAGGGAGGAGTGTATATATTCCAGTTAATGGATTTCTATTCAGCGAGCGGAATGTCGATCCTGTGGGTCTGTTTCTTCCAAACAATCGCGATATCGTGGATATTCGGGGCGCAAAAGTTCTGCGACTGCATCCATCAAATGATGGGCATACGATTGAATAAATTCTGGTACATATGCTGGGTGGTATTCGCGCCAATGATCATGGCCGTAAGTATATCAAACTTTCGTTGAAAATCAGAAGCCGTCGCGTGCCGTTCGTATAAAAAGTTTCTAGCAACATTTGCAAAGAACGATCGATCAATTTTGACAGGGTCGTAATTTACTTCTGTAGGGCGCGTGTAATTTGCATCGATCTGTCTATGTCTTCGTAGAATGTCGTGCGTTCGTTTGACGTGTGATCGATGTTCGTTTTACGTGATGTTTCGAAACTGTAAATGAGCTTTAACCAAATATTCCTAAGCAGAGTCAAACTTAAAAGTAACATTCTGTTCTATATTAGCTACGAAATTTAATGAAATAATCGTTGTCGATAACGTCGAAAACATTTAACAGAATTGTTACAAATAAAATTGCCCGGATAATTTACTCGCTGGTTATAATATTTTAATAAACGGTCTAGTAATGCGTATTAAAAGTACTAAAACATTAGATGCGTGTAGCTCCGAAACTATTAGTGTTTTATTAATCATTAAGCCATTGTTAAAAGCGGTGAGGCTTCCCCTTTAAAATAGTTTTTGGTTTTTGTCGATCCGACTTTCCGTTTTCGAAATATCACAATTTAAGTGAAAGGGTAATTTTCAATTTCCATTGTGATCTCTGTCTCCGCCTTAAAAAGGCTATTAACGCGTATTACAAATATTAAAACTTTAGACGTATGTAATTCCGAAACTACTAATGTTTTATTAATAATTGAACCACTGTTGGCAGCGGTAAACCTTCCTCTTTGAAATGGCTTTTGGTTTTTGTCGATCCGACTTTCCGTTTCGGAGATATCGTAATTTATGTAAAGTGGTATTTTTCTTAATTTGACTACGTCTGTCTTCGTCTAACGCGTCGCGTTGGATCTCTCTGTCTCGTAAGTTCATTGACCTCGCGACGAAAACAAACACTCCGGAACCAGCCATGCGTCTCGAAACTAAAATCGCTATATCTCCGGAACCAATTGAGCTATCGACTTGTTCGAGCGCTCATTTTAAAGGGCATTTCATCCCCTATCCAATGAACGTAACAGCTACTATAATTTGTGCTATCTTCTATGTTTATTTTGACATTTACTTTGACGCTCGACTTGAAACAACAATTGTCATATCTCCGGAACTAATTAAGCTATCGACTTGAATGAACGCTCGTTTTAAAGAGCGTTTCATCCTATATTCGATGACTATACCACCTGCTATAATTTATGCTGTCTTCTATGTTTATTTTGAGATTTACTTTGACGCTATATACCCAAACCAGATTCAACAATTCCTATTGATTATTGTAAGCGTTAATTACTTCGTAGAATGGGACGGGAATGATGGAACGTCTGTCGAATAATTTTTCATGACTTTTAGATTTAATTTCGAACTTCAAAATATCATACTAATCCTTTGCTTCTTTTTCCAGTCCATATTCGTGTTCCAATGCGTTCAGTATAAGCCTTTAAAATATGGAAACGACTACGAGTACCCGACATGGGCGGAGATCGTGGGTGTCTGTCTCAGTTTGTCATCTATGATTTGGATACCAGGCTACGTTATCTATTATCTGATCGTGACTCCAGGATCCGTTAAAGAGGTAAACTGTTTGTGCATTATAAACAAAATTCATTAATTTTTAGCTCTGTATCGTCAAATAAGAAACGTTCGTCTTCGTTTCCAGAATATCCTGAAAGGTCTGAAACCGAATATAAAGTCGCACGCGAAACTACCGAAGGGCGAGAAGTCAGCCGTGATACCGATGTCGGAAAGCAGTGCCGGCTTGATCACCAAAAACAACAGTTTCCTGAGTCAAACATGATCTTTGTAAACGACTGTTTCTTTCTTTTTATTTTTTTATTTTTAACTAGGTTGTAATTATCGTAAGTGTAGTATTTTTAACGGGATTTAAGACGCGAGGCTGGTTCGTAGCGAAACGTGATCGTTTTATCATCGACCAAAGAAACTGCTGTACCATATATCGTTGATGCATATATTGCTCCTCTCAATTTTAAGAGAACAAAATGGAAAAATAGGAAAGAGATGTCTGTATTAAAGCAGAATACGCTCTTTGAGATTCTCAGAAAATATTTTTAATTATTCTAACTAAAATTAGTTACTAAATGCATAGGAGAAAGTTGCTGAATTTGAATCACTCAACTCATTCTCAATCGTACGTGACAAATTTAATATTTTTAATGAATAACAAATAACGAAGGAAATTAAATTGGTCATAATATATTCTAATTTACACAATATTGAACGAAATTGAAACGACAGCTTTCTAGTAAAACTTTCATTGTTTGACGTTTTTAACTGAAAATAATGCAACTTTTTCCTACTCCGGGTAAGCAAAACCGTATAAATTAGTTTTACGAGAAAAGTAAAAGAAACTTTCGACTCCTCGAAAACGTTCCCAATTATTTTCACCAATTGTACAGTTTAACTTTAAGTCGTAAACGAGTCCCGTGCTTCTTCGACATTAATGTTTCGAACATCTGCAGACATCTGGCGCGAGTCTTAACCGATCTCGCGAGAATGTTAACGACTTGATGCCTGTTGACTTTAGAGGAAATAGCTCGTTCGGTGTAAATTTAAATATGGAACGTAATATTACGACTCTATAGGATTACGACTTTTAACTCTTTGCGGCGCAAGAACAATAATTGTCAGACTTTTTATGTGCAAGAACGTTCGACAAGAATGAGAACGATGAACACGTTTATGTATATTTATTCGTGGAAAATGTGTGGTAAAAATTGTCGATGCAAGTGGTCATCGAACTGCAAAGAGTTAATGAAACAAGACGGTCTAATTGGACGAGCACGGACGCGGTTTCTGGCCGAATTTTTACGCAGCATTTCTGTTTCGTAACGCGACAAGCCATCGATGTTAGTGTCAAGTCGTTATTATTGTCTGAAATAAGTGGCAAGCTTATACGAAACCGAGCAGTCGTCAGACATTGTATAACAATGGCAGCATGCCTTCATCCAAAGTTCCTTGCATAAATTCAGCTTTAATGTAAATGAAATTTTATTATACTTGAAACTTCTTACTGTACTAAATTCTTTACGTGGTGCAACGTACCGCAGTTTAAAACGTCATTCTTGAGTCACGAAGAGTTTACTTTAAGGACAATTGTAAATAATATTATTTATTTTTGCATTAAACCAGAATTTAGTCTGCACACTTGAGGTGCTTATTAAGACTAGTCACTGTAATATAGTGGGTTAGGTTTTACGTCAGAAATTGCAAACCATCGATTTAAAACGTTTACACATATTTATTGTTGTATGGACTATCGATGATTATTAGCGATATATTTAAACTTTCATAGAGTTTATACGCAATAATTTTCTATTCCTGTTTGAGTTTACATATTCTACAAAACGATAAATCTGTTTTTTTCATTGAGTGAGAGAATTGGTTATTTTTATCTCGAGTTTTGAATATTTAAATTACCCTTTGCTTCCACGAATAGGTACAGTTTTTATGAGAACTTTGCTCAACGAAACATTGACAAACACGTGATACGTAGCACAAAAATTAGTAAAGTCGAATTTTGGTACGATTGTTTGCTCGTGTAGAGCCAAACAGTTTTCTATTAGTGGTCGTTGGATTAAATTACAGATAAAAGTTTGTGCCTCGATGGAAACTACGTTACGACTGGTCCTAATAAAAACCGAACGCGATAAAAATACAGACGATATGGTTGTCGTCGAAATTTTTTACATGATCTGTTAAGAAAAAGAATAAAAAGAATAAAAAATCGTAAATCTAAGGTGTCGATGTTAAAAGAAAAAAAAAAAGAAAAAAGAATGGCGGAGGAGCGCCTCGCAGAAACCTGCACTTATACTGCACTTACGTATCGGTCTGTTAAAGCAGAAAATTATAAATTTACGAATCGAGACACTGATTTAATTTTCCGTTTCATTGATTAAATTTCGTGACGAGACGAAATTGTACCTAGTCTGACGAGAAATATAATGTAATTGCACGATATGTTATTAAGAACGTTTCAGTTGAATACTGTTCGACGAAGAAACGATGGCATTTTGTATGGTACGAGTAATTTTTAACGGAACAAATAAACAAAAGAAGTTAACGATTTGATTTATTTACAAAGGATAGCAATAAAAAGAAACACTCGTGATGCAACGTGAAAATTTGAAACGGGCCTAATATTACTGTAATTTCATTTTACAGACTATTATTGCTGATAATAACGATATTAACGCGTTGACTGCCGCCATTTTCCGTATTTAAAGATAAAACATTTGTTCAAATTCTAGTGTGAGACATACAAATATTCGATAATTCAATGGTGTGGCTCTTGGGATTCTTTTATTATAAATAATATTACACGTAAGCCAAAAATAACATTTGTTCAAATTCTAGTGTGAAATATACAAATATTCGATAATTAAGGTGTGGCTCTTGGGATAATATTTTTATTATAATGCCGGTCACCAGTGACCACCGTGACAGTCGACGCGTTAAGAAGTGTCTGGGAAGCTTCCTACGGCGTTTGTTTATATTTTGTTGTCGTAAGTACTTCCACTAAGGGTTAAAGAGCACAGATATTTTAAATACTGTCGAGAATTGCGTAGAAAACGATTTATTCGGATAAGCTGTACGCGATGCGACGAGTATTCTATGTTTATCGACGGACTCACACCTGTCACACGCGTGACCACACGAAACACCCACTTATGCGTGCTCTTTGTTCCATGTTCCATCGTGTATCATTATGTTTTCGCGCGTAAATATATAATCACTGTCATATACGATAAGCTTGCACGAAGTTGTACGCGAACGTTTCGGGTCATCGAGTTTGAAATGTCGTGTAAACAGAGTTAATTATTCCCACGGATTAGTCGACTAAATGGCCAGTACGATGTGTGCGAAACCGGTTAACGGACAAAGGGATTAAACGCGAAGGGATGCAACGATAAGAATAAAATTTCAAGAAAGAAAATACATTATTTACATTTTATTAATTATTATTAATTATTTGTATTTTATTCGTATATGCACGAATGAATTCTCGATTGGATATATTATGCAATGTTATTGCTTAGAAGTTCCCAGCATTCTTCGATTTTTACAAAAGTAGGAGAAGGTTGCCTAACTTGAACCATATTCGATATTTTCTTAAATCGTAATAATACTGCTAACAAATCGAAAATATTTTTATCGATGTAACGTGTATTAAATTTCAACGTATGCAACACTATTCTACTCGTTTTACAGAAAATTTTACCTTTTCGTATTAAAGAGAAACTACTGAGCTACAATATAAAATGAAAAATATGTAAATACTCTTTAGAAAAGTACAAAATATTTGCAAGCTGCTTTTTCTAAAAAAAAAACACACACACACAAAGTACCACGTTTCAATTTGCCAAAATAAAATTGTTGAAAATTCACTGTGATAAAATGTCTAAATCAAAACATAATTATAATTTTCATTTCAAACTATATGCAAGTAAATTAATATGAAAGGGTAATATTTTCTATAAAACATTATACATACGATAAAGGGTTTGTTTGTCGTTAAAGGTTGAAGGGTGTTTCGAATTTCTGAAATACTTCGTTACTGTAAGTTTCATCGAAAACTTTAATAATTTTTATCATTTAAAATACCAGTTGCACCCCTTCGAATAACGTCCCATTAACCAATAAGGCATTGCATGTACGAAAGAATGGAATCTATATTGAAACAGTATTGTTTTGTATGCGAATTAAATGCAATTATATCAATTGGTGTCGCTAATTTTATTCATCGATGATTATTTATCGTTTCCTCGAAAAACTAGAAACTTCGATCGATTTCAAATCGCGCGAGCGTCACATGGGTTCCCGTTCTCCGACAAATTAAAATATTTTCGCGTGAAATCGTTCTTCGATTTTCAATTTTTCCACACACGACTCGCGAAGTTATAAATTTACTCGTACGTTTCTCGATCGGATTGCAAAATGTTAGCGACACGAGAAAAGGAGTTTGTTACGCGTCGCCTTGTTATCATAGGGATATTCGTAGCAAAAATTCACTAGATTCTTCGACACCATAAACGCTCCGTTAAGTTAATGACTCACGAATATTTGTACGTCGATAGAGAATCAATGAATTACGTGTCATCATTTTATTCCATAACTGACATATACGATAAGAAAACGAAAATGTTTTATAGGGATATTTTCGATTTTAGTCACGTGATTTAGCCGCTAGGTTCTTCGATATACCAGGCAAGAATTTAATTGGCGTTTATAATGTATTTCATATTTTGTCATTTACACGTCTCGAGTAAAATGTGAAAATAAATGTATACCAATAAATTCATTAACATGGGCACACCTTTCTTTCTACTGTAAAACCAAATATTGATTTATTTTTAAAATTTTTAATCTCGTTTGTAATAATAACCAAACCTATCATACTTATCCAGTTCTTATCTAACGTGACAAAAGGGAAATAGTAATATCGATCAAAATTGAATCCCTTCTGGGTGGGTTTTGTACTTTTCAACATTTTGAGGTGCACTTTGTTAGAAAATGCAAACACACTAGTTATACACAATTCTATACAGGATGTTCGGCCACCCTTAGAAATAATTTTAATGGGAGATTCAGGAGGCCAAAATAAGACGAAAATCAAGAATATCAATTTTTCGATTTAGGCTTCGTTAAAAAGTTATTAAAACATTAAATTACAAAATTTCTAATCATTCTGAAAAAATTATTTTTATTTACGGAGGTCGATTACAATTATTTTTGGTGAATAGACATACCCTCGAATTCCTAACCATTTTCGAGTAAAAAATTCATTACTGAAAATATAATGTCTGATCATAACTGTCTGTTACCCAGAAAATTGAAAATTTTCAAATCATTCTGGAAAAATTATTTTCGGTTACGGGAGGCAATTACAGTTGATTTTGGAGAATAGACATGCCCCCGAATTCCTATGCACTTTCGAGAAAAAAATTCGAATAGGTGCTGAAATTTTTCGGCGAAAAAGAAGTTTCAAATCACTTTGAAAAAATTATTTTTAGTTAGGGGGGTCGATTACAATTATTTTGGATGAATAGACATACCCTCGAATTCCTAACTATTTTCGAGAAAAAAATTCATTACTGAAAATACAATGTCTGACCAATACTGTCTGTTACCCTGAAAATTGAAAAGTTTCAAACCATTCTGGAAAAATTATTTTCGGTTGCGGGGGATAATTAAAATCGTATTTGGTGAATGGACATACCCCTGAAATCCTATCCACTTTCGAGAAAAAAATTCGAGTTGGTACTTAAATTTTTAGACGAAGTTAAAAAATTTCAAATCATACTAAAAAAATTATATTTAGTTACACGGGGCAATTACAAGCATTTTTGGTGAACAGACCTACCCCAGAAATCCTACCCATTTTTGAAAAAAAAATTCAGTATGGGTGGAACTTTAATCGTTAATAACTTTTTAACGAAGCCTCCATCAATAAATTGGTATTCTTAATTTTCATCTTATTTTGGCCTCTAGAATCTCCCATTAAAATTTTTCCCAATGTTGGCCGAACACCCTGTAAATGTGGATTTGTACACACACGTTGGTCTTTATTTAATAATAATCAACACACATATGAATTCCTTTGATTTGTATTATATCTGTAGAGTCATTTCTTAGAAAATTATAGAAGCTGGTCGTTTCTATGTACGAAGACTCGCACTGAAATTTAAATTAAACTCCAGAGATTAATCTGTTCCTATCGTTTCGGATCAATTTTACGAAAGACGTCAGACGTTCAGCACAAAGGTTGAATTTTCGTGGAAAATGTGAAGAACATAGTTTGAAAGCTCATTACTTTGGGATGTAAGATACGGAAATTAATAAGGTATATATTTTGCAATATCATTACGATGCCAAACGAATTCGTTTTTTCTTCGCTGAA